GCTCTTTCGCGCACCTTAACATAGGGAGCCTGTCGCTGTGCTCAACAGATTACCTACAGGACTTAGAGACGGCGCCGCACACTGTGGTATTTGACCGAAAAACCTGGCCAAAACCTCAATTTTAAATTTTTTCTTTTGGAAAACCAATGTGATATTCGAAATCTACACTGTTTTTTACCCCAGTAGCCATGTATGTGCCATTTTTCGAGTGGCTCAATTTCCCGCGAAGAGACCACGAAGTTACCTATTTCTCAGCGATTTTTTTGATGTGTTTTGACGCGCTACTCGTCGATCAGTTTACTTCAACTGTTCGACCATAGGAGGGAAGTTCGGCGATATGCAACGCATTCTCAAGGGTATATTCCACACAACTATCCACAGTATTTTCGAAATTTCCTTTTTTAGTGATTTTCACAGGAGGTTGAAAAGTGATGTAAAAGTAAACGTTTTTTTCGAATTTCACAGTCCGATTAAAAATTTCTCTCAACTGTTCTCAAGCGGTTTCAGGCGGAATGTTATAGCCCGAAGTGGGTATTTTCAGGATTCAGGGTTGACAGACTGAGGAAAACTGAGGAAATTGAAATTTTTGACTTCAAACATGGACTTTTGAGCGATTTTCACAAACATGAATGGGAAATATTATGTCGATACTAACGACTGAAATTGTATTTTCTCAATACCTCTGACCCATTTAGTACGAAATTGGGTGATATTTGGTCACACAACCTGTTTCTCTGGTCCCTACGCCCCCGACAGAGGGATGAAAAAAATAATTTGAAAGCGGAAGGGAGGGTCATTTTAAAGTCTTGCAAAAGAGTTTAATCCGTTATTTAACGATCTCTTCGTGCATTATCCTTGAATATAGACATATGTATCCATGCCATGTTTTACTTTGACAGACAAATTTGAGGCCATCCGGCCGTGGGGTGGGGCTTCGAAAGTGGCCCTCTGGCACCATGAAATTACGCTGAGAGGCACATTTTGAAGCCTCGTAAAAGTAATTTTACGATTTTTCCTCAGGCAGCAGATTGTAAAGGGACATCATTAGAACTAAATCTTCCATTATTATCAACCTAAATTTTAAGAAAAAATACAATTGGCCCTCGATAAGTGAGATATGTGGTTTTGTCACGAATTTCGCAGTGATTTACGCTGTTTTATATTAAAAAAGGCAATTTCAAAGTTAATGGAGTGCCCTCACTTCGAGATGTAGATCATGGGTTAGGAAGGAACCCATCAAAATGAATCCTTTTCATAGGTGCTTTCTGTCCTCACAATGGTTCTTATTTTGATAAAACTGATTTTCATCCCATAAGTTATCCTCAAATCATCATATGGAGGTCCCGGCACTTTCATACTAGCACTAATTTTGATTCAAAACAGTCAAAAATATAATATCTAGAATGATTCATATTAATTTTTTTGAGAAATGTACATTTACTCCTCAATGTGAGAGATCGGCTGTTTCGTCAAAAATTTTGAAAGGACTTACGCTGTTTCATAAAAAAACCATTGATGAGGTCATAGAGAGTCCTTATTTCGAAAAGTGGACCACAGGTGAAGGAGAAACTCGTCTAAATGCACCGCTTCAGTCAGATACTTTGCGTCCTTTTAAAGGCTTTTTGGAGGGCTTCTTCCATCCTCTTTAAACTCTCCGCAAATTGTCATATGATGTGTTAGGTGGATAAATTGTGCATATTATCACTTAAGAAGAAGTACTGATTGTAAAATATTTTTAAAACTCGGCGATATCTGGTGATAAATGGTTTTGGCCAGCTTTTCAGGTCCAATACCACAGTGTGCGCCGTCCAAATGTCAATCTCGAATGGTTCACTTTACGACTATTAATCTTTTGAACTCATATTTTGTTACAAAAACTGTTACCAGGGTTTTTTCCCCCCAAAAAAATTCAATTTTCAACCACCTAAAGCGTAACTGCTTTACGGTCAAGACTTTGGTAGGTACTGCAAAAGCCCATAATTTGTCGAGGGTATCATGTTTACAAAAGACCATTTTTTACATAGCCCGTCAACAGTTTCTAGCAACGTGATCCAGCATAATAAACAAGCTACCTATCATCCCTTTTCACACTTTGAACAGGGCGTATAATAGTGGAAATAATAAATTACCCGACTGCATTTTTGAAATTCCTATAATATGAAAGGGACATCATTAGAAGATGGGGAATTCTACGAAGAGTGTCCAATTTCAGTCATTAACTTTTCATAAGTAAAAAGTTTGATATAAAATCTCACATACCTCACCTGAAATAATGGAAAATACGTGTTTTTATTGAAATCTGAACTAAAATTATGAACGTCGTTGTATTCAGCGTACTGTCATGATCGGTATGTGCAATGTTTACAGCCTCATAACTTCTTTTGGTCTGAAAAGTTTTTCCAATTTTCGTACTGATTTCATACAAAAACTTGCAGTTGAATAAACATTGTACCCACCTATTTAATTTGAAAAATGTGCACTGAAAAAAAATAATATGCTGTTTTAGCACCTAGGATGTCAAAAATGTGTCTGGTGGTCCAAAGAAACTGCCTTTACTGCCCTCGCAGTTAACTTTACATTCTATGAATACGAATCCAACTGCGTGGGCAATTGAGGTAGCATCTTAGGATCACCAGACACTTTTTTTACATCCCAGGTTCTAAAACAGCATACCACTTTTTTCAGTGTGTTTTTCACCTGTAATATTTTGAAAATGTGCTGTCATTAAGTTTCGACGTCACGACTGTCACAGATGTTCCTATTTGTCGAATAACGGTCGCTAGGGAAAGTCAAAAACGCTGTAAAACCGTGTTATTTCGTTAGGTAAGGTGTTCACATCAAAGATCCTACAGCAGTTACGTACTTACTGCCGGAATTTAGAGGATTCTGGTAGGACTTAAAAGGCAAATTCACTCCATTTACCCTTTTTGTTTGTCACGGCCGTCATGCTTTTTATGTTTTCAGCATGTAATGTTTTGAAAAAGCTTTGTTTCCCCTTTATGGCTCTTGCTACCTGTTGTACGCGTACCGATTTTTGAAATTGTGCTTTTATTCTTGTTGAGAATACCCGCCGTTTTTCTTTAAATTAGTCACGACCGTCTCATCGTATTGAATATTTGGGGTGTGATAAGAAGATAAAAGAAAATGCCATGTAAAAAATCTGTATTGAGTTTGTAAGCCTGACACGTATTACACTGAGCAGGAAAACAAACCCTCGATCCAAAATAATCAAGTTGAACTTCTAGTTTTTGTAAGGCCCAGGAGCGGTGCGTAATGGAGGCACGTCGGTGCAGTTGCACCCACAAGATTTCAAGAGATCTGTTTCCCCCTTTCTCTTTTTCATTTATTTTCTCGTCCTGGTTTTTGTCAGTGGAACGATGGATTGTTTAATGAACGTATTTACAATTCACAATCCAATCCTGTGCTTCCTCAAGAGTCAATACCTAATAAAATCACGATGTGAGCATTGGCAAAGGAAGCGCCCCAACTATTTTTCTGCAGTCCACCTCGCCGCAGGCAGCCCGGCAAACAGTGCTGTTTAGAATAGCGGTGGGGGTAGGCATGGGAAGGATCAATGTTTTTGGCAACTACGCTTTCAACGCCTGCAAGTGAAATGAGTTTGCTGTAAACTTTGGTTATAACGTTAAGTGTTTGGTGGTGTGGGTAATAACTCAACACTACGGTTAAACGATATTCATATTTATTGTAATAAAATAAAAGGAACGAACACGACACGGTATCACGACATGATGATTGGCTTACGTGATGACGATTGCGGTCACCTGACCCTCTGAGGGCAGTGTTGCCAACCTGTGCTGGGTAATACCAACCCAGGCTATCCAACACCTCCCCGTTTTCATTTTCTATTTTTTGCCCTACACTTTACTCCCTTCTGCAAACACAAACGAAAAAATTGAGGGAGTAGAGTCCAAGTCAAAAATATTCCAGAAGTGTATGATTTTCATCAGTGAAATTTATAATTATACATGAAGAATAGTTTTTTAAAAGAATATGAACAGTTACAATTGAGGATTTTGAACTTGTACACTGACAGAAAACTGACACAGTACCTATTTATTCGATTAATTTGCATTTACGAAACCAATCAATTTATGAAAGGAGGAGTGTCCTTTTGGGCCTTCTCCGGCCCCACCTGGATTTTGCTGAATGTTTCATATTTTCAAAGTACCTACTAGTCCTAGGTAGACTTTATGCCAAATATTTTACCGAACGGAGCCCATGTGAAGGTGCAACAACGCCTCAAACCCAGAACCTCGGCATCGAAAAATACTTATTTTCGTCGACTTTTTCGACTGTTAGAACTCTTTCAGCAGATGACTCCAATGTATTTTTTGCGTACTTTCCGTTTCTGGCCTTTTTAAAGGCCTCCGATAAATTTTAAGGGGCTTTATGGCCCATTGTTGCCATTTTGGCCCATTTTTAGGGGTTTTTTCAATTTTACACACGCAGAAGTTAATTCAAACTAAGAATCGTGTACGTTTTTGAAAAGAACGCAAAAAATGAATAAACAATGCTCAGTGAAACTTTTTCCTATGCTGCCAAATTTTCGAGAAAAATCGTCCCAAAAAGCCAAAAATGGCAAAAATTCGATAAATTGCCACGCTCAAGGTTCAAGAAAGTGGAGTAAAACTTTTTACCCGTACGTAACAGCTCTTACCTATATATACAACATATCAAAAAATTATAGTTGTACCTGGATTCCGGCGATGTGAAAATTGACCGGGATATCGATTTTAGCGGACCTCCCTTCACCCTCCTCCTGGTTAGTAGAATTACTTTCTGCACCCATGAAGCAAAAGCCCACGCACGCGCCGCCACTGGGAAGGTCAAATTGGACGTGCAATTTTCGTAAAATTACCTAAATATGCCGTTCAAATGGAAAATGAGCTGGAAAGTCCACTTCTGTATGAATTTGGTCCAACGATATAGTTTTTTTTAACACATTCAGCGCGTATTCATGTCAAAATACAGGCACTCACCCGTTAGATGAGCCGGTAGAGGTCCATCCGCTCTTATTCTCCGTGCGCCATAATATTCCACCAACTTTGATCGCACGTATGAGTGGAGTTGCCTGTACAGGGGGGCCACCGTTGCCCATAAATTTTCCATGTGATTCTCAAAATTTGGATCTTCATAAACTGCACGCTCCTGGTGTCCCGCATCTTGAAAACCTTTATCAAGGTAAGAAAACCAAAATAATCCGTTTACTTAGAATTTTTACCAACTCTTGCAGGCTGGCCTGCCGTTTTTCCCGGAATAGGGAATTTATTTTATACAGTTTGTAGGAACATAAGAAACAAGTTGGTATTGTTAAGCTGGGTCCACACTACTTTGCGGGGTAAGTATAAGGCTAACGAATTAGAAAAATTTCAATCTGCTAACACGGTCAGACATTTAAGCTCTAATGAGTATGTCAGTGCAAGGCTGAGGGGAGAGAGTGTTAAGCTCAAGCAGATGCTTTGGAATACTAAACTTCGGTCACGCCGGGAGATCAATAACCTTTCGGGTCTTTTCAGACCTCATTAGTAGTAGTCAGGGAGAAACACGATTTGACCCGGAACAAATTGCTTAACAAACTTTTCCCATGTAAACGTCATCAGTAGGTCCTCCTGAACAACATACCAAAAGATTACCACGGTCCGACCCCGGAACACCCCCCAAAATGCCTAAATTTCAAAATGGCGGCCATAATAAGGCCTCTGGGATTTCGGTTTTTAAAAATGCGCATATAGTGTCATGTGAGGTATCAATCCCTATGTAATTTTGGTCGTAAAATTCAGATATGAGGTCAGAAAAGTCCCCCGGTCAAAGGGGGTGCCCCAAATCCAAGATGGCGGCCAATTTTGAAAGGCAGGAGGGTAAATTTTTAAAATGCGCATATAGGTTCATGTGAGGTATCATTCCCTATATGAAATTTTGGTCGTAGGTTTCATTTATGGAGTCATAAATGCCCTCCGGTCAAAGGGGGTGCTCCAAATTTCAAGATGGCGGCTAAATTTGAAAGGCAGGAGGGTGGATTTCTGAAATGTTCACGTGACATGGCAAGTGAGGTATCATTTCTTATGTAATTTTGGTCGCAGATTTCATTTATGAAGTCATGAGAGCCCCCCTGTCAAAGAGGGTGCCCCAAATCCACGATGGCGGCCAAATTTGGAAGCAGGAAGGTGAGCCAAAAAAACAACAATCACGTTAGAAGGCAGGTTGGCTATCAAATTCTACGTATTTTTAGTCTAGGAGTCTGAATGAAATTTGTAAAATTAATTTCACACAAAAATGAGGCGTGGCATGCATGATGGTGACCATCATGGCTGTCCAGGGTATGAAAAGATGTGAACAGGAGCACCTAAGAGTTATTTTTGTTAATCTTGAAGCACATACATTCCCAATGAAGATAAGGATATTAAACGTGACCTACAAACTCTAGTCAATATGGGCGAAAATCTGAATCAGCACAGTCATTCAGCAGTGATTCATAGTCTGAGACAGGATTGTCAGGATCTTCTTCCTGGGGTGTCGCCGCGTTTATGAAGTCTTCTTAATTTATACGTAAGTCTGTGCAGCATAAGTTTATTTTCTGAAATTTTCACTTACATACCGCATGGTGTACCACACCTTTTTTTTTTTTTTACCATTATACCGAATAATCTCACGCAGCGATTTCGGACTGGAGGCAAGTTGCTTGTAATAGGAGTTTCGTCGACATTTTTAGCAAAGCATTCCCGTTGACGAGGATTCAGATCGGCTCGTTCTATCCAGCTTTCTCTGTTCGTTTAAAGCTTTGCTTAGGTTTCACGAACCTTTCAGCATTTTTGCATAGGTAAAGATCCGATATAAGCGTACCAATATAGTTATGCTTTTCTGATTCTGTGCATGTGAGAGGTTAAATCGCAGCAAAAGCCAAAACGTATGGAACAGAAGCTGCTTACATAAACTTAGATCGATTCTGTGACGGATTCAAGGGATGTTGTGAGCAATCGTCTTGGACTTTCCGCAATTAATACAATCACATCTTAAGTGCAAAGAAAAATTGATGTTCTCGGATCTATTTTTTTTTTAAAACTAGAGGGCTCCGCCCCCTGGCCGCTCCGCGGCCCAACCCCCTCGTATATTCTGTCAATTCGTTATGAAAATATCACTTAATTTTTTTTTTAATTTACATTATTCTCGTAAATTGTATTAATATTAATACTGCTGAAGTTCTGTTAAGTGCTTATTCATTCAAAAGATCATCTTCAATTTAGCTAAAAACTTACTTCATGCAATTAAGGTTGGAGTTTTAAAAAAAGGTGAATAATCAGTTTGAAACGGTTTATATGGGATAAAATAAAATGGATGGAAAGCAAATAGGATAGAATATAATATAATATAAACGAAATATAATAGGTTTGTCATTAATAAAACGGGATGTATTTATATTAACCTTGATAAAAGGCCACAGGTCGGTTTGATATTTAAATTAAAGAGTGGCGGTGATGCGTAACAATTTTTGGATTTGCTGCTGCAATTCCCGAGTAGTAGTGATCGCCATAAATTGCGATTTAATCGGAGAATATATCGCGATTTTATCGACGTCGCGATTTATTGCAATATTAT